TGTTGCAAACATTAATGGCTTCGATTACTATGAAAATGATATATTCACTTGGTGGGGTATAAGCTCATGTTCATTAGATACCAATGTCGGTGCATTCTTTATAGGCGAGAGGGGCATCCTATTTTGCATTAATACTATTAATGGCAAAGATATTAGTGATTATTCATCAGCGGTGGATGGAGAGGCATGGGAGAAAGAAATCGTTCTTATGCCTGGAACTCGTTTGTGCGTCAAATCGAAAACGCTTAATGATAAAGGTTTAGACGTCGTTCACTTGGAAGAATGGTAAGCCCATTTGAAAAACATAATAAAATCTAACAAATTGATGTGTTAATCATGAAATTCATTAAACATGGTAGTCTTTGACTCAGTGTCAGGGATATCAAACCAGATTTCTTGGGGTTCAAAAGTTGTGAGCTTTAAATTCTTATATTTTCAAACCTTCAGTCTGATTGGCTTCTCAAAAGATAGATATTAAAATTTTATATAGTTCTTGGGTATGGGTGTAGATAACAACTGAACAACCATCCTCATCCACAGCCGCCCCACCCTCAATCACACTTGGGCATACTCAACTTGTTTGATCGCCAGGTTTTCGAAACGTATATTTATCATGTGCAGGCTAAAAGTTTCGAATTGAAGCTAAAAAGCCTTTGATTTGCTGTATTTCAAACTGAGTAATAGGAGAACAGTTTTTTTGCTTTAGACAACCTGGTTTTTCTTAAAGCAGAATTCGGATCTTGAAAGATATGCTCATGCAGATCGTTGCGCAGGCCTCATAACTTTAACGAATTCTTTGCGGCAGCTTTTTCGTCGCTTTTTTATTTCTGCTGTGAAATCGAGTTCTGAGGTTGGTTTAAAATAAGCCACATGTCAAACGTCTCAATACCAAGGATAGCTTCTTCACTACGAGGTATCCCTTTTGGCATAGTTTTGTGTACTTCTCTTCTTAATAGCGTAGTGAATACATCATGAAAATAATAGCCTTCATCGGCTCAGTTGAGAACATAGGCAGAATTGAAATAATTCACAGAATTATAGAATTCAACTAGCATGGATCTTATTATCATCAAAATACACTTAATTCTAGTTCATCGAGAACATTGACAATGTCATACAACTTCACGTAGTTCAGGCGTTTCAACATTTAGTAGTATTTTCATATCAATAACTATCATATTACAGCTTTCTCTCCAGTTACCATTTATCTATTCAATAGTATTGGTTCTATATCTTCTAGCACTCCGATTCCTGAAGGAAAACATGTTATGATATCTTATGATTCGAATAGTCAAGAAATTGTATCCAAAATTTATCATTATCTACAACTCGAACATATACCACTTTGGCTCAATGAACAAAAAGAAACGCCAAGTAATCTAAAGAAAAGGTATAATTTTTTGTATTATTTTCCATTGGTCAAAAAAAGTGAGCTTCACGCGTAAACTCCACGTTTGGAGCTGACTTTTTCACTCATACTTTACCCGAAAGTTTGCGATCTATGTTTTACAATATGTGATATACATCTTTGTGAAAAGTCACCCTCGAACAAATACTGACGTGCCTCAATGCCTGGAAGTGCTATTCCCAAAACAGAACACAATTGCTCTGTTCCGGGAATACTGTCTCCGGATTGTGAGTAATACTGTTCTGTTCTGGGAATACTGCTTCCGGGCTCTGAGTAATATTGTTCTGTTCTGGGAATACTGCTTCCGGATTCTGAGTAATACTATTCTGTTCTGGGAATACTACTTCCTGATCGCTGCTAATTAAATAAGTACTGATCGCAGTTAGTACTGAAGGTGTCAGATTGCCTAATTCTAAAATTTCGAAAGGGTTTGACGAAGAGTTAGGCACTTTCACATAGACAAATAATAGTGTTCGGTGAAATGTGGACGCTAAAATGCTGGCATCTCAAAAACGACAATTTGAAGCTAGCACTTCGTGGAGCTCACTTTTCTTGACCTTTTCCATTCACTAAACACTGTAATTATATTGTTCTTTTTCGTAGTTTGGCTGACGGAGTAGAAAATGCTGCAGTCGTTTGTTGTTTCATAACTCAGGATTATCAGAAATCTGACTTTTGTCAACTCGAATTAACGTATGCACAAAAGCGGCAAAAACGAATCATCCCATGTATTCTCGCTGATATAAAGGTATGCAAGCCTTCTGACTGGTTAGAGCCAATAATTAAGGACCTTGCATCGATAAGCTTTCATAACGTCTCTAAGCCATCACTCATGCAGGGAATGGTGACGGAACTGATTGATCGAATAAAAGACCAACCTCCAACGTCTCACCATATACCGTCACAATTAGCTGATGAGCCAAGTTATCTATTTGAACTGATTAAATATGGATATAAGAGAAATAGTCGTATTGAACGTTTCATGAATCCAGCCAAATCTTTTCCGATCGACCAAAGTTACATCAATTTGGCCATAGTAGAAACCAAAGAGCAGCAAGAAAAAGAAAAGAGGCTTCGTGATTCTCAGCACAACGAAGCGATTATGGAAGCATTTGAAAACATTCATGGTACCAAGACTCCAATAGATATTAAAGACATTTTTAAAACATGCAAGAATGAAACAAGGAATATACTAGTGTTCGGTCGAGCTGGCATTGGAAAATCAACATTTTGTCAATACATCGCTTATCAATGGGCAACTGGTATGCTTTGGCAGGAATATGACCTGATTGCTTTGATTCCGTTGCGTTCTTTGACAGAGGAGAACTACCCACATGACTCACATGGTAGAAAATATTTTCCAATCGATGTTTTGAAAACATTGTATTTTGCTTTTGGTCTGTCCCTATCAGAACAAGACGAAATGCTTTTGCAAAAACAGTTTGATAAAAGTCGCATTCTGTGGCTTTTAGATGGCTACGATGAAATCGTGCAGAATCTACCGACACATCTCAACAGTTTGCTGAATAATCAGTTACTCGAGACTTCGGATCATATCATAACATCTCGTCCATACATGAATACTTTGTCGCATTCTGTACAATTGGAAATTACAGGCTTCATAGATGATAATATTTCTAAGTATGTCAAACAGTTCTTCGAGGAAATGGGAAATGAAGCGCAGAATTCATGTACTGAAGATGAAAAAATACTAAGCTTTCTCAAACGTAATCCTAGGATTCACGGTATTGCACACATTCCCATCAATCTAGAGCTCATTTGCAGTGTTTGGAGTAATATAGAGTGGACAACAATGAAAACAATGACGATAACGATGCTGTACGATACATTGACCGAATGGATATGTCGACGATATCTGGAAAAACAACGAGAAATCTCAACTGATTTATTGTGTGAAAACGATGTTTATGAAAAATGCAAGAATGAATTGGCATTCTTAGAACGCCTGGCTTTTCTTGGGATGGAAAGTAACACTATAATTCTGGGTCCAGTTCTACTGCAAAAAGCACAAAACGAGACTAACTGTTCATTAGCTGAGAACCGACACTTACTCAATATTGGATTGCTAAAATCACTCATAAATCATCATGGCGTTGGAACGCGAATCGAAGCAAAAAAAGATCATTACTTTGTACATCTTAGCTTCCAAGAATATTTTGCAGCTCGGTACTTGGTTACTACACTAAACACCAGCGAACCTCACAAAATGATCGAATTTATCCAAGGCCATAAATACAACCGACGCTTCGAATTAATGCTGAACTTTGCGTCGGGACTTCTGGCAAACAGCTACAACACTAAATGTAACGACACATTCTGGAACACAATCTCAAGAGAGCCATTAGATAAGGTTGGCATAAGACACATGCAAATTGTTATCTCTTGCTTAGAAGAAGCACATCATAATGAAAACTTCCAACAATATAATGAAATTATGAACTATATATTTAAGTGTATAAAGTATGCCGTCCATACCGAATACGAAGTGATACGCACTAACCTAAACGAGACCTTACGTAGAAGTCCGTCGATAGTAAATAAGCCTGAACTAATCGAAATTCTCACTAAGCTTTTGCTAACCAACAATGAACACACATGGCAGAATGTCATCTCATTAATAACTGAAATACCACTTTACAATCCACCGCCGCAGTTCATACAGTTGCTTGTGACTGCATTAGGGAATCCCAATAATTGTATAAGACGCAACGCATGCCAACTCCTCGGTCAGCTAGGTGACAAAGCAGCTACGACAGGCATTATCACTGCGTTGGTGACCAAACTGGGGGATGCGAATGCTATTGTCAGAGAGAAAGCATGCGAAGCTCTTGGTCTGCTGGGTGAAAAAGCAGTAACAAACGATGTAATCGCAACACTGATGATAGCACTAGACGATGCACATGACATTGTCAGAAGCAACGCATGCCAAGTTCTGCGTGAGATGGGTGAAAAAGTAGCAACGAAAGAGGTGATCGCGGCGCTGGTGACTGCACTGGAGGATAGGAATGATTTTGTCCAATTTAAGGCATGTGAAGCTCTTGGTCGAATATGTAAAAAAGCAGCAACACGCGACGTAATCGCCGCGCTGGTGACCAAACTGGGGGATGGGGATGATCTTGTCAAGTTTGAGGCATATAAAGTTCTCTGTCAGATGGGTGAAATAGCAGGAATAAACGACGTGATCCAAGTGCTCGTGATCGCACTTGGAGATGCTAATAAATGGGTCAGAGAGAACGCACGTAATATTCTCTGTCAGATGGGTGAAAAATCAGCAACAAATAACGTGATCGCAGCACTGGTGACCGCACTGGCGGATACGCATGATCTTGTCAGAAGTAACGCATGTCAAGTTCTCGGTGAGATGGGTGAAAAAGCAGTAACAAATGACGTGATCGTAGCGCTGATGACCACACTAGGAGATACAAATGATACTGTCAGATGTGACGCATGCGAAGCTCTCGGTCGAATAGGTGAAAGAGCAGCAACAAACGATGTAATTGCAACGCTAGTGACCACACTGAGGGATGTGAATGCCTTTGTCAGATGTCAGGCATGTGAAGCTCTAGATCGAATGGGTAGAAAAGCAGCAACAAACGACATCATCGCAGCGCTGGTGACCACATTGAGCGATGCCAATAAATGGGTTAGAAGTCATGCATGTAAAGTTCTCAGCCAGATGGGTGAAAAAGCAGCTACGAAAGAGGTGATCGCAGCGCTGGTGGCTAAATTGGACGATGAAGATGATTATGTCATATGTAAGGCATGCGAAGCTCTCGGTCGAATAGGTGACATAGCCGCAACACATGATGTGGTCGCAGCGCTGATAATCGCGCTTGGGGATACGAATGATATTGTCAGAGAGAGAGCATGTGTGGCTCTCGGTCAAATAGGTGAAAAAGCAGCAACAAACGACGTAATTGTAGCTCTGGTAACTACGCTGGGGGATGCGAATAATATTGTCAGATGTGAGGCATGTGAAGCTCTAGGTCGAATAGCTGAAAAAGTATCAACACAAGATGTGATCCCAATCCTGGTGACCGCACTAGGAGATGCTAATCAATGGATTAGAAGTAACACATGTAAAGTTCTCGGTCAGATGGGTGAAAAAGCAGCGACGAAAGAAGCGATCGCAGCGCTGGTAGCCAAACTGGGGGATGAAGACGATTTTGTCAAAATTCAAGCATGTGAAGTTCTAGGTCGAATAGGTGAAAATGCAGCAACACAGGACGTGGTCGTAGCGTTGGTGACCGCACTGGGATCTGTTGATGGTTGGGTCAGACAGAGCGCATGTATAGCTCTTGGTGAAATGGGTGTTAAAGCAGCGACGAAGGAAGTGATCGCAGCGATCGTGACCAAACTGGCGGATGGTGATGATTTTGTCAAGTTTAAGGCATATAAAGTTCTCTGTCAGATGGGTGAAAAAGGAGCAACAGACGACGTAATCCCAGTCCTGGTGACAGCACTAAGATCTGCTGATCGTTGGAACAGAGAGGGCGCATGTGTAGCTCTCGGTAAGATGGGTGTTAAAGCAGCAACGAACGACGTGATCAAAGCTCTGATGACCTCATTAGGGGATGCAGATGATATTATCAGACTGAAGGCATGTGAAGCTCTCGGTCAGATGGGTGAAAAAGCAGCGACGAATTACGTGATTGCAGCGCTGCTGATCGCACTAAGAGATATCAATGATCATGTGAGACAAGAAGCATGCAAAGTACTCAGTCAGATGGATGATAAAATAGCAACAAACGACGTGATTGCAGCGCTGGTGATCGCACTGAGGGATGTCAATGATCATGTGAGACAAGAAGCATGCAAAGTACTCAGTCAGATGGATGATAAAATAGCAGCAGACGATGTGATTGTAGCACTGGTGAACACACTAGGAGATGTGAATGATGATGTTAGACAGAAAGCATATGAAGTCCTCGGTTGCGTCAGTAAAAAAGGAGCAACGAACGATATGATTGCCTTATTAGTGGATGCATTAAAAGATGCAAAAGCTTGGAAGAAGGCGTGTAAAGCTCTCGGTCGCATCGGAGGAAAAGCAGCAACAAGTAGCGTTATTCACGGGTTATTATGTATTGCTAATTACGATGCTTACGCAGCATTGGAAAAAATTCTGGTTTCTGCGCCCTCGTTGTGTAACATAAATTCGAATACAGTTTCAAAATTATTTGATTTCTGGAAGCTGCAGGAATGGCATGTAAGCAACATACCTATGGAAAAGATTATGGAGGCGTACATGTGTACAAAAATCGCTGAATGGTGCCCTATTATTGGTTTGCATTCCCTTCATACCGCTTGCGGTGTTACTATTGTTGGGGAGAGGGTTATTGTTTATGGCAACTCTAATCCAATAGGGTTCGACATGCCGAGTTCCACACTTTCTGATGACTTAAATGGCATGTTTGCTATTCAGAGTGGTTCGGCTTTTTATCTGCCAAGAAATTCGAGAAATGTCGTTTTACCATTTAAACGATCATTATCGCCTGTTCTGTACGGAAATGGTAGTAAACGACCAAAACTACCGTGACGATCACGTTTTTTCGTTTTCATGATTCGGTCAGCTTCTTGCAGCGTTACATATGTGAAATCACTACTGAAACGGTTGTATATGTTAATAAACTTTCCGTAATAGGTGGCAAGAAATGCTTCTAACCACATTCATGACTAATGAATACTTGTCTCAATGCTCAAAGTAGATTAATTTTTTTACTAAGTCTACGGTTTATTAATTATTTTTATTTACGAATTTTCTTCTCTTTTAAAGCATATATGAACGATATTCAGATCGTTTGCAACTTCAATATATTTTTATTAACTCACAAGTTATATTTTTAAAAATTATTCTCTATAGACTTGCTTCTGTTTCTATTAATCCCATTGTTTGTGAGGGTGTGGGTGTGGGGTGTGGGTGTCGGTATGGATGAGAGTGTGATTAGGACTGGAAAGAATAGTACCGACACCCACACCTTATGCAATAGATGCAGTACTAAAACTATCTGATGACGTTCGTTGAGAAAGATCCAAATCTAGATTGTGGCATTCTCCTGTCATAATGCTCGCACCTGCCCTCAAACCGAACCGATCGGTTCGAGTCCGTTCATGAACTGAACTGCGCTTATCTCTGCTTCTTCCTTACATTCAACTAGGATGAGTTGTTCTTGTTTTTTATTTGAAGATAAAAAGAAGAATCGAATAAACATAATATCGTTCGTAAAAAAACAGACAGGATATCCATGCAACATAGTTCATATATAAATATTATTTAGAAACGATAGTAAGAACCTGTATGAAAGCGTTTATAGTAGTGATACCTGACTTTTAATCCTTGAAAGACCGACAAAGAGACACCAAGGAAAAGAAGCAAAACAAACATCAACTTCCATTTCATCTTGTTCATTGGTATTTTCATCAACTATACTTAATCGATGTTCATCACAATTCAAAGTAAGCATATATACGTGGCCCTGATCATCCCTCGGTGGCCTCGGTGGCCGCAGTATGCGTTGATATAATCCGTTAAAAATACGCATAAAATCCCTTGACCAACCGTACGCCGAAGGACTTTCTTCAAAAGAACCCCCACCCCAAGATTGTATAGGTGGTATGTTTCGTGCGCGAATACCCAAAAATTCATAGGCATTATCTATTCTTATTCGAATACGATGAATACCAGACGAATATGAATGAACACCAAGAGCACATGCAAACACCCCATATTTCACAGTCCTAACCGTCCGTTCATCGTTCAATAGTTCCACTGCTTTCTCATCAGGTGTATAAATCTGTCCAAATTTCTCGTCGTTTACCAGGTTTGCAATGGCTGAGTTCGTTGGCGGTGAAGTAGAATAAGCCATTAATATCTTCTGTGCTTTTACCTATCTACTCGATTAAACAATCTAAAACAATACGATGTCTTTTTTACATTTTGTTTTGCTCTTTTCTACTTGAGGTGCACACAATGCAAAAGAGTGCCAGACAAAAAATATTGCTAAAAATGATTTGGTTAGATAGAGCTCTTCGAGCCGTATCGATCTATGTATTTTTCAAATTCTAAAACCGTTTCTGTAAGCCAGAATTAGGAGAAAATCTGAGTTTGGAGTCTTTGAAAAACCGTTATAGGATCCTCTCTATTTAGGAGAAACCCCACACTATTTGCATCATCTGATGCAGAATTACACGCTTGATCCGCTGAATGTGTTTCGAACAAGACTTTTTGTATTCTGCAGCCATTGGTTCGAGGAAAACTGCCCAGTGTTAACGAATTTCAGTACTTCATTTTACAAACCTTTCAACCCCAGTTCTTTTCATGTCTCCTCGGGCGCAAAAACATATCATCCGACTCGTCCACATATGTAAAGAATGTGGGTGTATTCTATTGCAGAGATTCACACACACACACCCTCAAAATTTGTGCTGACACGCTTTTATGCTAAAGTTATGAATTCTTTTTAATTACTTTATAGAAGCAGCCGCCGTATCCCTAAAATCTGTGAAATACAGTGACCAAAAGATTTCAACGACTCAATTGCTTTTTCACTACATCTCTAATGTTCTACTATTTTCAACAAAATTTGCGTGTTTGAACTTTATATAGAATAACTAATTGAATTTTTACTCTTTAATTTAAGGGTAAAGAGAATGTTTTTTAATTAGAACTCATTTTTCGAACGTCTTAAAGAGTATTCTACCTGATATAAGCTGTTGATGTAAAGTCGAGTTTGTTGAAGTTATTCATCGTTGATATTAGTTGTTTTTATTTATAGCTGAGTTTTATTCTGTCATTTTTGCGAGCAAAGAAATGTTATCATTTATTGATATCATTGTGGGAGCAAATTTTTCGTTGCTTCTACTGTTGTTATTACGATAAGAAAAGATCGAGCAATAGCAAAGACTTGTTTGCCTATGTTCTGGGGATAAGTTGGAAAAAAACATATTTAGGGAGTGAGGGTTAGCAAGAGTGTGAGTGTAAACTTTAATTGATATTCATACACTCACCCACCACACCCACACCCTCTTTTCCTTATTTTTATTACAAGAAATGTCTACAAAATGACACTGATACACTAAAAGTAGACAAAAATTGACTATTTATCGAATAACTATTTGTGAAAGAAGAAGTACATGGCAATGAAAATAGTAACTGTAATAATGCTTGATGATAAAGATATCTTCATCATAGTATTATATGCAGACAATCAATTGATCATTTTGAATAAAGAATTGATACAATCATCTATATTGTTACTGAAATTTTAAATATAAGAATATTATATCTATTACTTCTACTTATTTAAATGATATATGAGATTTGATTAGCTACAAAATTCTTAGGTATATTTCTATTAAATATAGGGTAGAAAGTCGGATTTTTTTTGTCTAGAAATCATCCATTTGATGAATTGAATTCTTTGAAAATATTTGCAACATAAAGTGTACTTCCATCAATAGGGACAGAGTGAAACTTCATCTACTTTAAAACTTTTTTGAAGTACACACTCTTAATGTCTCACTATTTTCCTCTTCACTTAGTTTAATAATGGTGAAATAACAAAAAATAAATATAGTAGAATCGACAAAATACTTTTTTTGTTTATTGTAAAGTTAAATTTTAGATATAGGAATTGATTTGTATTTGTTTGCTATTCGATATATGAATGCAAAAACTGATGAATGAATTTGAATATAAATATTGTTCTTTTGAGTATATCAATTTGTTGTAATCTTCTAATTCCATAAGGAATGTTTATAATTATAAAAGAATATTATTCATAAATATATTGTCTACGTGTGTAATATCTACTTTGAGGATTAAGTACTTATAGATACTTATAATATTTTAATTATATTTTCAATTACTGTCCTTAATAAATTTATAAAAAAAAATGAGGTTATAGAGTCACAAACAGATAAATTCATGCAGAACGTTGTCGACGGACAGTAAAGAGGCATTTCCGATATATAAAATGTAAAACTTAAGAGAAACGACGAGAAAATACATGGAGGAAATAAAAAAAGACACTAATTTTGTCTTTTCTGCAAGAAAAAAACATGGAATCAAAAAGACGTTTTTCATTCTGTATTGAACGTAAGGAGAACAGCACGTCTCGTCAATAACATTTCCTTCTTTTTCTATATAAACAAATTGTGTGTTTTTCTTATCTATTTCATAACTATCTAAACGTATTTAATTCAATATTATATCATATTTTTAGAATACAAATACAATGTTAAATCTTCCATTAACAAAAAAACAAAATTTATCAGAATGTCGAATATGTGGCGCTCCTGCTCAATATCTAAATTTTGGTGTTATTTCATGTAGTTCATGTAAAATGTTTTTTAAACGAAATGCTAATATTGAACAAGTTAGTTTTGATTAGTTTTTTTTAATTTTTAAAACAAAAATTATTCGTTTGATTTAGGAAATATTTAAATGTAATTTTGGTGACAATTGTGAAATAAAACGAGATAATCATCATATGTGTGCATCATGTCGACTTAGGAAATGTTTTCAATATGGAATGACTACTAACAAATTTCGAGCATCAAGACCGACTAAATCATTGGTTAAAATAGAACCACGATATCAATCAGAAAAAGTAAGATAATAAAAGTTTCCAAAAATGTTTTTCTTATTTATTTTTTTAGTTATCAATATTACGGTCTTTAAAACCAGATCATTCATTATTGACTACTAGTCAATGGACACTTCTCTCAAATTTATATAATAGTTATGATGAATCTCAAGTTTCATTAATTAGTAAATCTATAGTAGATACACATAATTCTTTACAGCCAATGAATGTGACATATGAAAGACTTGTAGAAAGTTTTTCATCATGTACTTATGAAACAACAGGAAGATATCTTTGTTTGAATGATGATATTTGTAAATTATCATTTTCTGATCGTTCCATTGTACTTCGTAATGCTGCAAATAATGTACCTTGCATGGCTTCTTCATTTATTGGACGTCATTTTGGTTTATTTAGTCTAGATTCTTTTTTGAAAATTGTAACAGCAATGTATGGCAATGGTGCAGTCTCTCTTACTATATGGACACTGAAATTTGTTAATCTAGATATTGTAATATTTAAACTAGCACTTTCATTATTTGCTTTATCAATAACTACTTATATATATTCTCCAAATATTTCGATAGATTCAACAAATTCTTCTACAATATTTCATATTCAAAATAAATATGCAGAGGTTACATGGAACTATCTTAATTATAGATATGGTTGGTATGAAGCTGTTAAACATTTTCATAATATCGTATATTGGCTTATGGCTTGCACTACGTCTATAATCCATGGACAAACTGTTAGTACACATGTTGATAATGTTGATTCAATTGTTGAATTAACTGAACTTACACTTATATTAGATGATGTTGAAGAAATAATCGAAACAAAATAGAAGTCAACAATTTTTATGTTTTATGTGCTTATTGTTTGTCTTCTAGTTGAATCTTTAATATATAAACAGAACTAAACTCAAAATATATTTATTCTACAGTATTAATCAAATTTTAATCGAATGCGAAAATACATTTAGGTGTATACGTGTCAAAATTTTCATTTTATTATTACGCTCATGCAGATTTTGACTGTTTTAGTTGAAAAGTCATCGTTCTAACAGAATTAAGAGGATCAATAGCATACTATGATTTTTTTTTGTCATTAAAATGAATTAACATTTCTGATGTATCGTTCACAATTAAACATTGAATTACATCGAGCTGATAAATTCATGTTTTTATAATGATCAGATTTATTCTAAAAAATATAATTATAACATATCTATTTCTTATTAGCTTAACAGATTTTTTAGAGAAAAGAATGAATGCACTGAAAAAAACCTTGAAATCTAACAAATGTATAGAATATATCAGTTGTTCTAACAGAATAAATATGTCTGAAATACAAGGAGACGACAGCAAAACGAGTGAAATTCTTTAGCGTCCTTCGAACAACGACATTATTAATAAAATAAAAGCATGCTTACATGTTCTATCAATAACATTATTTTTCCAAGAGCGATAAATACATATTGAAGTATGTCATGTTTATTTTATCTAATAAAAACTATTTGTCTTGCAAATATATATGAAAGCATTTACGATTCTTTTCTTTTTGTTATCTTGTATATACCTGAAATTTTACTTTAGATGGAAGAACATGATGTGACAAGATGTGAAATAACGAAACCTACTTATCTTAGTCTCCTACAAGAAATTGATAAACTTTTAAACTTATCAAGTAATTTGAACGATTCGGATCTCTCTGAAATAGAGACAATCTTTAATAATGTAACTGAAAATATTGATCGATTGACGAACCAAATGGATTTTCAGAAAAGTGCAATGTTTTTCATTACAATATTGAATACAATTGTACGTATCTCTGCTATCAATGATTCTGATATTGTTATATCACGAAATGCTTTTCAATCAATGTATGAAAAATTGAATTACTTCATAATGTATATTCTTAATGAAAAAGATTGTTCTCCAATGTTTGCCAACGATATTTTGGATTCAATATTTCTCAATCTTGTTAAAGATGATTTTATTGAAATTTGTTTCAAACGACTATATTTCATCGTTCATGTTTTCAATTATTTAGATTTTGTCACAACCGATGAAGAACTTTCACAATACGACAGGATCGATTTTCTCAAAATCATAGAACAATACATAGGACATGCTAACACCTGTGTTTCCATAGCAGTTATTCGATCGAAGTATGAATTTAGTAACCGTTACAGATCTCTTATGATCTCTTTACAAGAATTTATTAATAATTACCTAACTACTGCAAACCACCATCACGTTCGTTCGCGTTTGCTATATGTAATAGCAAGCATTTTAACTCTTATATGGAATTTGACTGATAAAATTGCATTAATTCCTATATTTATTGATACTGATTATATACAAAAAAGTATCGAATGGATTTGTACAGATATATTTGCGTCTCATATCAATATTTTGGGTAATCCAATAATTTCAATTATTCATAATTTGTCAAGAGACAAGACAGGTTTGAAACAGTTGCGTACAAAAAAGGCATTCAACGTTCTGATGAAACGTAAGCAGTTGATTAACGATGAAAACAATGAAGATCTAACAAAAGTTTTTGGTCGAGCTGTAATTGCATTAGCTGTCAATGATGAACAATCTGAAGAAAACAAAAAATTCATTCTTGATACGAGTAAAATTTTATATCAGTCGTGTAAGGATGCTAATCAAGATGTTGATTTAAAATCTGATGGATATCATTTATCAGAATTGCTGGAATTATTACATCGTGCTTTTACAAATACATACGTCATAAAATATATTCTAGAGGATATGAACAATGAAAAATCAACAGTAATACAATACTTTGCAGAACTTTTTTTATCGTTTTATGGAGTTCTACTAGATCCAGAACCAGATGAACTCGAGAAACGTGCTGTCAAATATTTAGTTAAAATTCTATTACAGATTTCTAGTTATCCAGAATATCTTAAAGAATTAATTGAGAATAATCAGTTTTATATAATCATTCAAAGTCTTGCTAATCGTTCACAACGAGATGATGTCAAACGTATTTGGTGTAATATTCAACAAATTATGATACCAAATGTACCGAAAAAAGAAATGTCATCAATGATCTACATTAGCTATGATTATACTGACGAAGAATTTTGTAGAGAATTTGTAAAAGAATTACGTAAAAAATCAACAATACCAATTTGGGTCGATTATGAAAATGTTGAATTGTGTGATGGTATGTGGGAATACGTATCTTCAACAATTCTATCAGCAACAGTGGTTATTATTTTGGTATCAACAGCCTATGTTGAAAGTACTGATAAATTTCAAGAATTATCTTACATAATCTCTACTAATAAATCAAGAGATGAAAACAAAGGCTTAATCGTTGTTACAATTGAGCCTAATTTTAGTTTTAAACGCTCTTGGATGAAAGATTTATTACATGATAAGATTGTGGTTCCTTATGATAATCATATTGGACATCTAGTTTCAAATGTATGCGAGCAGATTTTTGTGTCGAAGAAATCGTTAATTAAAAGTCTACGATGTCAAGTCAAAAATGTACGAAAAAAAACAGTTCAATCTGATGATTTTACAGAAAATTTTGAACGTAGTCCAACTCCCACAATAGCCTATGTTCCAAAGGAATCTTCAAATAATATTAATGTCTTAGTTACAACAAAAAAACGTAGTACAAATTGCATTGCTGCTGGTCTAATGACAGAAACCGGATCCGCCGGTGATTTAACTTGGATGTGAAGACTTTATTTTATTCTTGAGTACGAAGAATTATAGTACTAAGAATTTATACTAAAAGACATTTTTTGTAAAAGAAAAACGATCATCAGAAATTGATTGCTAATCTAGCTGATTTTCATTAACAAAATACAACTTGAGAGTGAGTGTGAGTATAGATGTCTAAGAGGTTGAGAGGTACCCACACCCACACCCTATAAATCTTCCGAGAAATGTTTTGTTCAATCAAGTAGATATAGAGAAGAAAACGACGATCAAGCATGCCACCCTCAATTTTGTATCGTTTTGGCACCATCGTGTTCCATCAAATTTTATAACGGCAGACTTAAGTTTGCTAATAATTCAGTTGCTGGAAAAAAATTGAAAATATGACGCATAAAATATTATTGCATTACACTTGGGCAAAGTAATGTTGTCATCGTTGTTTTTTCCTCCTCTCATGTTTTTGACTCATGTGTGTAATTTCGACATCAACAGAAAGATGCTTTTTTCATCATATTTAATGAAGTAGCAGAAATTTTTTTATTCAGTCATTTTACAGCTCGACGGCAAGCAATTATGGATGATTATGATCAAAACAAACATTTTAAATTTGGTAAAGACAATCCTACCTTGATGAAAAAGCCTTTTTGGACATATATGGTATGTAATCCACATCTAAGTGCTTACGATGCTCGCAAAGAAAATAATGATGACTTTAGTAATGACAGTAATACTTCGACATGGTGTTTTTCTCGATTTGGAGCTACACAAACTTATTTGCCAGATGGACGACTGATATGTATTGGAGGTGAACATGAAGATTCATACGATCCTGATTTTCAAATTTATAATGATGTTGTTGTCATACGAAATCCTCGGATGGTACGAGCACACTATATGTACTCGTTGCCTGTACCAAGTAACTTTCCATTGGAAACCACTTCCTCAGAAGGAGAAATATTAGGAACATCGAAGCCAGAAGATGTTACAATCTATGGATATCCTGAACATGTATTTCCGCCGACAGATTTTCATACAGCTACTTACGTCAAGAATAATGATCAAGAAGATTTCATCTATGTTATTGGTGGTCTAGGATATTTAAATTCTTCTCACCGGAAAGAGACTCACGTTTATCGTCTCCGTCTATCAAACTTTAGCATAGAACAGGTGAAAACGACAGGTAATGGACCAGTGGGATGTACGGAAAGACATCAAGCGACATTAATAACTATGGGCGATCGAAAAATGATCGAAATCTGTTTGAAAAATCACCGACGTTACAGGTTGGACGTTGAAACTGCGACGTGGAAAAAGAATTAGTGATCAAAAACTGTAGTTTAACTAACTGTATCTATGGAATGAAAACAAGAGTTTATTTTTCTAAAATAAACACAAAATAGACATAAGATGAAATAGCATCATTAAACTATGAAATATTTTTTCTACACGTAAAGAAAGCAAGAAAATAAATGTCCAGTTTATGTCACACATATCAATCAAACATCGAATATTTCCTAGAACGCCGTTTTAATCTTAGTAAATTTACATATTTAAGACTACTTTCGTTGTATCATATTCATTAATATGATGTAACAAATGCTTTGACTTTTATGTATAACATGTGGAGTCTACCTAAACTTGTTCACTGTCATTTGTACATAGATTTCTGTTTAGTAAGCAAGTTCCCTTTTCCAACAGTAATATCAAACAGTCCTAAATATTTGTACATACGTTTTCTTCAAAATGAAAGTAATCCAATGCCTCTTTTATTCAAGTTTACACCCCATCTTCAGCATTGTTATCTTATTTCCACCATTGATCATTATGCAGAAGATTCGCTTTCCGTAATTTCAGTGCTACTCACATTGAATATATCATTTGCTCTATCTGATAAATGGACAAAAACTAGAACAAGTGACTCGTGACCATCTACCAAAACTTAGAAAATTTCATTTCGCAATGGATTTTGATTTTGACAATGGTTCGCTCGAATTGATTCGAGATAAAATGGAATCGCTGCTATGTTCTAAAGTTTATCACATACTTTTTAATATTTTGATGCCGATGCTTTAGGTCTATTTAAGTCAACCTGTCCTAATGATAGTAGCCTTAAGTCATATAATCAGGTGCGTATCTTTGATTATTATCTCGTATTACTTCTAACAACATACGCAAAATTATTGTCAGGTTTCCTGTTGATGATTACTTCTGCTTGGTTTTCGAACGTTCGATTCGTTGAGATAACTTCGAGTGTTTTGTGATGATTTTGATCAAAACTGTCAATCACAGCTGTAAAAGTTACTTCACAAAGCACCTCATCTTTATTCATTATCATTTATAAAATTGCCATTATTTCAGAACCGGAAGATATCAATAACTAAACTTGATTTAAGCGACCATAAGCAATCGTATAATAATAAAACATGTTTAAAATTAAGTTATTCCCCAATAGTCTTCCAATGCAATGTTCTTTATATTAATGTTCGAAATCGAACATGTATAAGTATTGTAATCAATACGTGACCAAATCTACGAGTATTAAGTGTTCAATGCCCGAGTGACACATACGAAGAAGACAAAGATATTATTCCGTGGATTCGCTAATAAATGAAAGAAGTACAACTTTTAGTTGAAATGGATTGAGATGTAGCATAGAATGATATCTACACAGATTTTTACATGACTCTTAAGCTGAGAAAGGTTTCTGAAACAATGCAAAATGACTGAGCACTGGAATCGAAATCGAGAGTCGTCATTGTGAGGGTCTGAGTGAATGTCAGAGTAGTATGTGGGTGGCCGAGAGTGCAGATAAAGAGAAGAGATCCACACCTTTAACTCTTCAATCCCACTAGGTTGTTCGCCATCAGTCTATGAAACTCGTCTCCATATATAACCTATAAAATATCTCATCTTAAAAAGAATTGTTGGAAAAATCCTTCTTTTCATTATGAATCACATGCTTCAGTTAGAACAAATATATGACAAATATAAAGGTAATACTTGTGTATAAACACATCATATCACTTTTTTTTGATAAACATTTATATTGTTCTTATCTAGCAAACATCCACTTTATGTAGTAGATATATTTTAAATGGGTATTTGCCAACAATATTTTTCGTCGTAAGAAGTAAGATCGAGTTTTTACGATTCATTTTGTCTACGAATTATTTTTATTTTTCCAACAATAATCTACAGATTTTTTACTACGAAAATTTATTCTGGTTCAGATTCTCATATACATGAAAGCAATTTCACTCATAGAACTCGTCCATACTAATTTGATGTATTCTTCTCTAACATTGAATCATCGATGTGGCTCAGGGTGTATATTAGATACCTATTGTTCATTCTATACATCCTCATCGAGTTGAAGCTCAAATAATTTTCTTTTCAGATAAAAATTAAACTAAATAATTACAATGACAGAAAATAGTGGATATAAATGTACGGACGAAGAATCGGACAGTAAACTTCTGAAGTGTACAATCTGTACGAAATCTTTCATTTCTCCTGTCACAACTAAATTTGAACCGACGCCACTTACACATTGTGTTCATTGCATCAAAGAGTGGCTGAAAGATAATCACTCGTGTCCCAAATGTCGTGAAACGCTAAATCACCAGCGTATGTACTTTCAAAGCACTGATTATACTATTAATGAAATGAGTGTGGGTGTGAGTATACAGTTCATCTTGTATCCACACCCACACCCAACTATCAAAATATATAATTCTTATCAGAATTTATTTTTAATTTAGATGAATCGATGGATAAAAGATTACAATCGAATTTTTCAACAAATTTGAATGAATCATCTTTACATAGAAAACAAGATTCTGATTCAACTATGCATGATATACTTAGTAATTCAGCGACGTCCAATCATGAAAAACAATCCGGTTAGAATTGAATTTAAAAAAAGAGAAGAAAAAACAATTATTTTTATTTTGCTTCTTAAAGGTGATTCATTAGCAGGGCTTCTGAATAATAATAATAATGTACAACAGGATATTGCAAGAATGCCGACATTTCAACAACAAATTCAAATGAATCGATCAAAGGTTATTGAATATAGTTAAAATTAGTTTGTTCTACTTTTCTTTTTAACTATCTAGACGAATCACGTTCCATTAAATTCTGAAACAATTCAACAACAACATTATGATTTTATTAAAAAATATAAATCAGGTAAAATATTTTTTTTCTCGTCTAGCTTACAAAAAAAGCAGCATATTTACGAGTGAGTGTGGATGTAAATGTTCTCAACAGTCCAACAAAGAACACCCATATCCATACCCTAATTAATTTAAAGAAATTCGAAAATTTTTATTAAATAAGTCTGTTTTTTTCTTCTAGCTAAAACCAAATTAGAATCTCAATTAAAAGCAGCTCGAGCACAAGAATTAACTAGTGGTGGACAACCAAGTGATATGATAAAACGAGTAAGATTTTTAATTAAACAAAAATAATAAATAATATTTTTTTAGAATACTATACTTAATAAATTATCACAATTAGAAGCTATTAAAAATAAACATTTAACACGTACTATTGAACTTAAACGTCAAACTCAACAATCAACATCAGCAACAGCTGTTAAGAATATTGAACAAAAAGATTTACCTAATAGTTTATTTAGTTCATCATCAACATCATCATAATACTACGTATCCTTATTAAGCATATGATTATTGTTGTACAGTATATTTTTCTTTTTTGATCAACTATGATTTTTATACAAGCTAGTTACTTTAACTGATTTGGTAGTTGTTCATATACAGATTTTATTTAAGATGATTTTTTTCCTTTATTTTTGCTTAAGTATATGTCATCCTTAGTTTGTTTTATTTTAAATGAATAGTAAAAAAAGAAAAGAAAATAAGATGAATTTCAATTTAAATAATATTTCTAATATAAAAATTTGATTGTAAACTTCGTACATCTGTTTATATATAATAAAATTATTTTTACATTGAAAAAATATGGAAAATCTTCTTTAATATTTCACATAGTCGGATTGATTCTTTTTAGTAGAGATTAATTGAAAGAAAATAAGAAGCTTGATTAAAATATATTGTTTAATGTAGAAAAAATAATTAGTATTGAATGAGATTTATTTAGGATTTTCACAAAGAAGTCCACCTACGGTGATATTTTTGCCACCTATAACAATAGTTGAATTATAAGCTATGTCTGCAACATCGTATGGTTCATATCCAATCTTCGTAAGTGTTTCTTCTAATTCACCACTAGCAATTGTACACACGCACGTGGTACCATCTGCACAGGCACCATCACATCCAACTCGTAACTTACCAACCAAAGTTTCATCCAACTTGTCCAATGGAGATGGCAAATATGAGAAATCAATCGTATGTACATTCTTACAATACTCACTACATATGTTTGGTTCTTTTCCTTCATCATTTTTGCAGTAATCATTCAATTTGTCTTCTGTTTTAAAATAAATATAAAAATAAAACATTCATAATAACAATAAACATTTTACTCACGTATGCAATCGTTATTATATTGCGAAGGTGCAGCAAAACCAGACGGTAGATGTATTACAATATATCCAAAGAAAGATAATATTAATACAAATAATATTCTATTCAGACTAACCATTATTGCTACAAGAAATAGATGTGTGTATTTTTTATTGACGAATTAATATAAACTGTTTAACACAAATCGATATCAAAGTTTTCTCTATTTATATAATATTATTTCATACTTAATGCTCCTAAATACATTAATAATATCTGTTTTTTTTCTATCGATGCAAAACAAAGAATAAAGAATATTTGGTCATGATTCATTAATATTATACATGCGTTCGGTTTATTTTTACATGATATAATCGTATAATAAAGTACAGTACTAAGATAGAGAGAGAGAGAGAAAGCAAGAAATAATCGATTATTATCACCATCTTTTATTTTTCGTATAGAAATACAAAAGAAAGAGTAAGCATTGACTCATTATGAAGCTAAAAATAAGTATGAATCATGTTGAAATAAAACTCATGTGTGAATAAACATCATATAAAACAAAACAAAAAAAACCAGCTGAAATTTGATTCACATTTCTCAAAATAAATAATTTGTTTTTTTCTGATATTTTTCAATATTTTTATTTTGACTTAAAATGTGTTTATTCTTTCTTTTGTATTTTTAGAAGAAAAATAGAGGATCATAAACATACTTGATCACCTCTTTAACTCGTTCTCTCTCTACCTTATTACTATACTTTATTATACGATTATATCACATATGAAGAATATATAAATAGAGAATTTTTCGAATCAATTCAAATTAAATAATTGATATTTATTTATATAAAAGTCGAGAATACAATAAAGTAGCAAACAAAATATGAAAATCAGTTAGTTGTCGTTTGTGTTGAAGATCATTCTATTGTTCGTTGTCGAACTTTTTCAAGATAAAAACGTAATTGATCGGCCAATTGATCACGTTGAACTTCAAACTAAAATTACGAAAAAAGAAAACAAATAATAGAAGAATTGCATTTCTTTTATATTTAAAAATCAAAAGAAATCATACTTCTTCTTTTGTAATAACATCACGAATTTTTACTGTTCCAGCTGCTAATTCTGCTCCACCAATAATTACACATAATTCAACTTGATGTGCCTGACAATATTGAAATTGATCAAGGATTTTTGGATCGAGTTTGAATGACATTTCAGCCTATAAGATATAATAAATATTTCCTTTTTTTATTTAAAAATATGAATTTAACCTTAAAACCATTCGCCCATAAATAGCTACATAATTTTATGCGTTCATCAACGAAATTCTTTTGAGGTGATGCTACATAAACTTCTGTTTCAATAGTTTTTATTTTAATTTTTGTTTCTGCCATTTGATTTTCTTTAATTGCAAATATTCTCTCAACACCAATACTTGCACCAACACAAGGCACTTGTTGTCCTGGATCAAGTTTACCAATAAGTTCATCATATCGACCACCACCAGCAACGCTTCCAACAGCCATTTGATCATCACCTAATGCTGGATTATATTGATATTTTGTAAGAACAGCTTCAAAAATAACACCAGTATAATAATCTAAACCACGAGCTAATTTCAAATCAAATACAACCTAAAAGAAAATTTTATTTTTATTAATAAAAATGAAAAATAAAATTCGATTCATTTTTTTTTACTTTATCCATAACACCATATAATGTTAAATAATGAAAGAGTGTACCAAGCTCTTTCAATGCGCCCTTCGCTGATTCTTGACCTGTTAATTGAGCATCAGCTTGAAGATTACTTACTAGATCAGCATTTCCTACAGAAATAAAATAAAAAATTATACATATACATATATACAAATAGTATGTCTGTATAGAATATACCATGCATTTGAACATAACCCCAAATTTTATCGGCTATTTCTGGTGCTAAACCTTTCTCATCAATCATTTCTTTTCGAACATCATCCCATGGTGTCTGAAAAAAAAAACAAATCAATGTCTATTTGTCTTCAACATATATGGATAATTTAATACTTTATCGAGTTTATCAACAGCTGAACTTATTGGACGAAAGTGTGAATCTGGAACACCACATACAGCAAAAATAGCATCAAGTAATTTACGGTGACTGACCTAGAAATAAATGATATCGAAATAATGAGGGTGTGCATGTGGGTAGGTGGGTAGGTGGGTGGGTGGGTGTGGGTGTGATTTTTCGACGAAATGAGAACTAACCATTTATCCTAATCGAAATACTTACATAAACTTTATATGATCCTACATCAAGTTTATCGAGAATTTCGATAACGATTTTGATACATTCTGCATCAGCTACCATAGAATCATAACTACCGGCAATATCAAAATCACATTGATAAAATTCTCGATAACGGCCTCTTGTCATTTTTGGATTATCACGTCGATAAACTTTTCCTATGTGATATCGTTTCATATTTGCAAGTCTATTTTGTGCAATATAGCGTGCAAATGGTACAGTTAAATCATAACGTAAAGCTAATTTTTCTGTACCACCTTGAGTTTTTAATTCATAAATAAGTTTACCATCTTCGCCATATTTTCCTGTAAGAATTTGCTACAAATAATAATAATAGATTTATTAAGATCCGATAAATAACAAAAATGATTTCATACAAGAAGTTCCATAACTGGTGTATCAATTGTTTCAGCCCCGTGTTGTTTAAAACAATCAGTAATTATTTTAAAAACTTGTTCACGAATTTTCATATGAGCAGGTTTATAATCACGTGTACCCTAAATGAAAGAAATATTCGTTTAATAATCTACTCAGTATTAATAAAAGAAAAACTTAGTTTACCCGAGGTGTTTTAAGTTGTATTTTACCATCGGTTGCCTCTTCCTCCTCACCAGTAGCAGCTTGGGGAGTAACCAGCTCGTTTATTAAACTGAGTAATTTGTCTACAGCTTCTTGTATCTATAAAAATAATTTATATAAATGTATATAATTATAATTAATAATCAAATAACAAACTTGTTCATTTGAAGCGTTTTCATCTTTTAGTTGTCGTACAAGATCGACTTGTTGTTTAATCAAACCAGAAAGATCGTTATCAGTTATTGTTAAACTAGTTGCAATTGCTGATGTTAAACTTGTTGTAGAATCGGAATTGGTTGCCATTATTGTGATAATGCCATAATGTGAATGAATACATGTACTATATATATTTAATAAAGTATGGAATAAACCAATGGTAAAATACAACTAAATCTGATGCAATGTAAGGAAGCATCAAACGCGTCATCATTATTCATTGAAAAAATTCCAAGGAATTTTTTTTTATTTTTATTCCTTATTTGGAATTGAGATGTCTATTGTATAGAAATGGTTGTTGTTAACCAATCAAAGATATTCTGGTTGCGAGGCATGTACAAACGGTGATTGTGTAAACGAACGAAAAAGTGCGTCGTCGAATTTTGATCAAGAGCAAAGAAAATTATAAAGAAATGTTAAGTTCTCGTTGATGAGTCATGTATTATGTATGAATCAATCAATAATTACATAGATCATCATCTTATATGTTGATCACGCAAGATAATAAAGAATTTCTATGTAGATGAAGTTAGCAGCGGATTCGAGTTTTTTTTAAATCGATTCACCTGGTAAGGTGTGCCATCTATCGTTTCAGTACGGTATGCTTAGATTTTGTACCAACTTCACAGAATGTTTCATAGTTATCAAAAACTCTTTTTTCTCCATGGAAATAATTTCATAAAAATTGTATTTCCTATAATTATTGGATCGCTCGCTCTCGAACTTACAAAAATAAACATAGACTCTCGTGCATCTTGACTTGCTCTATCGGATGAAGTATAATTCAATATATTAGAATCGATAAAATGGAATTGCTTTTTCCCTGTCAAATTACTTTACAATATTAAATTAATATATAATTATTTTTGAGGGTGTCGGGTGATGTGAGTGCGGATGTCGGGTCTTATGTATGGGTGAGTGTGTGGAAGTTGGATCTGATGTGGGTGTGGGTGTGCGAGGATTTGGAATAGAGTGGATGTAGATATGAATCGATTTATATGTGGGATTAGTTCAATGTCGAAGCCACACTAGAGCCCGATGATTACAAAATAAATGGGATCGAGAGTCAAATCGGAACCGAAACTTTTAAATTGCTCTTATCCGAAAGCGGAGGGTGTGGGTGTGGGTGTGAGTAAGATAAATAAGATATACTCACACCCACCCTTAGATCATTTCAACAAAAAATCAAAATTCTATCAACTTGTTTTTGTCACTATACATACCACTAAGATAAATTTATTATAAAGTAAATTTATTTTATATTCAAATGACATTTAACAACCGAAAATATGTCTGCTTTTATACTAATCACAATGTATAATTTAGAAAAAAAACATGTTCTGTTTTTTTTTGTCATTTAAGAATATATTTTCATAAACTAAGTTGACATGTCTCTCTTGTTTACTGTCCAAAGAATACTTTTTTTTCTTTTCTGCTAACACAGAAGCTTAACCAGGAAGTTTTTCTCTAGATAAAAATATTAAATTGTTTTTTTTAGCAAGAACCTGTTCAATCTATTATTTATTTTTCATTTATAAATAACAATATACATTGAACTTAATAATAAACTTAGATATTCCCTAGACCGAAAGGATAGGGTCTAGAAACGGGAATTATCTATTTACATGTATTATTTTTGTCGGTAACATGGCACAAGTGACCATTTTTTGGCGCAAGTAACTATGTAACTATGGTATATTTTTGATGATATTATTTTATTTGCTATTATTATTTTATTTGAATAGCATAATATTTAATATATAATATTTTATTCAATCGTATGAAAAGAGCGCTAACTTAAATATTTGAAATATTTCTCAATTATATATAGATCATCGTTTTATTGAATAAATTAAAATAATGAGGCAACTCTAAGCTTACTTCTAATATGGAGGAAGATGAAAAAATATTAATAACAAAAAAATGGAACGTCCGTATGTACGGAGTATTATAATACTTTGAAAAAAATGTTCAACTATTTCTATACAGCATGTCGTTCATCATCATCCACAAGTATTTTTAATACATGTTTGAAAAAAACGATGATGTACCGAAACGTCCTGTACGACGACTCAATAAAATAAGACTCAGAATTAGAAGCTTAAAAACATCCGCATTGTAATTCCATATTAAAAATTCAGTTGCTGCATTATTGCAAAACATTTTTAATAAGTTTGTTAGTTGAATAGTTTTGCTATAGTGCATATAGATAAAAGAGTTCAAAACCAATTTTGATATATAATGATAAAGAGATCTACACTGTACTTTTTTTGAAACCCTATTTTTTATAAAATTGACTTGAATAAAGCTAAAGCATTTTCAAATTTTATTATTCATTCGTCAAATATCAAAGTTTTAGAGAATGCTTGATTTTATATAAAGTACAAATTCAATTTGATTTCCTGCTGAAAGTCAAAACTAATATTGATTAACTCTCATTCATATCTAAATACAACTATATCAGTATGCGGACCGCGACAGTCTAGGGCCAAGTGAATCGAGTTTCGATGAACGCTACTTGTCTATAACTTGAAGTTTTATTTCGAACATTGCCATGTTATTGTTTACTTCATCATTTCTCAAAAGTATATGATGAAATAGTCAATGTTAGATAAAAAAATCGGAAATAACATTATATTTATAATAGTTTTGTTTTTGATTCCATATTTCGAAGATATTATCAAATGAAATAGGGTGTGGGTTTGCAGAAAAGAAATATCCACACTGATTTCTTTATTTTCTATATCATCTATAAAACTAATTTAAGTATATTCTTTCCATACTCCCAAACCGTATAAATATGAAATTGATGTCTAAAGAATTTATTCACTTTTTTCATATTCCGATATTAAAATATATATTCATTTGATATTGTGCAAAAAGCGTATTGTTCATTGAAAAATATAGAAATACAATACAAAATGCTATATTAACATATAGTCGAAAATATTCTTTAATATCTCTGAAAAATATTCAACATTTTCTTTTGAAATAGCGAAATTTCGATAATTGTTGAAATTTGGAGCGTTGGATAGTTTTATAATTATTATTATCATTAGATGTAACACATTTACATTCTTTTTTGTGAAGTTATATGGAAACAGATGTAAATAATTTGAAGTTTACATTAACAATAGAAATAAATAAAAAGCATCACAAATTGCTTTTTGATCTAACACATATTTCAATGGTTTATGTCGCAGCTGAAATTGATAGTCTTTATAGAGTATTCATAGATTTTTTCATTTATGAATAAAAACTTTCCAGCTGTCCTCTTTCAGATCAAAAATAATTTATTTGAATACACTTGATCACCATAGAGTTGTATCAGTTTATCCAGTGTTCGTAATTTTCATTCGAGATAACCAATTGTTTGTTATTTTACTGTAAGTTTCAAACTCTATAGAAATATTATCATTTTTATTCATAAGCATGCAAACTAGTTATCATCTCACTCTGATTATCTTTGACTCATACACAAGCACGCATAACCCTCTCTACAATTCATGAATTCAGGTACCCCAAGTTCGAAATATCAGGCAAAACTTTTATAAAAAATCGTTACGTTCTTAAGAAAATTTAATCTTGAAAATTTTCGAAAACCTTCGCTCTTACTGAAATTTCCTTTTTTTCATTTAAAGTAAAAGCAGCAACTCTTACTAATCATGGGTAATTCAAAATCCACTGAAGTCCTTACTGATGAATCTCAATACAAATACGAAGCTCCCAAACCAACCGACTCACGTGCACCATGTCCTGGGCTGAACACTCTAGCTAACCATGGCTATATATCACGAGATGGAAAGAATATCCGACCTGAAGATTTACAGCGTGCCTTGCAGGTATGATTTCTTTTAATATTCAAATAGAGAAATTTGTTTGCACAGGAAAAAATTGGCGTGTCCTGGCTAGGTTCTAAAGCAATTGTTACTGACGCGTTCCATGTCACGGGCAAGAATGGTTTACTCACGCTTTCTGATTTTTGTCACCATTCACCCGAGAGTTTTGAACATGATGCATCACTAAGTAGAGCCGACCCAGACCTCTCCGAATATCACCAGGGCAAATTCAATCAAGAGCATTTCAACAAATTATTATCTTTTTCCAAAGATGGTATTTACTTAACGACGGACGATGTGGCTGCTGCTCGTTTATATTTCAAAGCTGACAGCAAAGCGAACAATCCGCACTTCTACTGGAACGATCACTTTGAGAGAAGCGTGTGGATAGAAGCATCCCTTCTTTTATATCTCATGGGTAGAGATGGAAAGATTAGTATTGAAGATGCCAAAATATTTTTCGAACAAGAAAAATTTCCTCCCAACTGGCAAAAGCATCCTTCATTCGGTTTCGCCGATTTATTCTCGGCCATAAAGACGCTGAAAAATGCAGCACAGGAACACGAAAAACAACAAGCAATTAAAGATGGAGACGCATAAGATGACATTTTCTTTTTCAAGTTAATACTCAAACGTGAAGCTACTAGTCTGGGACTATAATCATCATGTATCCTACAGAATATTATTTATTGGTATAGTTTATTATATTTGTGAAAGTTTCTCTATTTTATCATATTCGAATAATTGTTGAAATAAAATTTAACAGAACGTACGACGTTCATGATAATCTTAATTAGGGTCTAAGGAGGATTTTTGAACAATTTTCATTGCAACACTATTTCAGTTGTACACAATGCTTTTATGACATCGTGAGAGTATGAGTGTGGGTAGATGCATGATTACCGTTGTTTACCCACACCCTATAAATTTCTCTAATTATGTTAAATAAATTTCATGTGATGTGATTTGAAGAGGATGAACATTGCAAATTACTTGTGAAGTTCTCTTCGTTAGATGTGAGTATCGGATAAATGAAATAATCGTATCAATCTATGTCCACACTGATGCTTAATAATACTTTTATTTATTCTTACACATAAAAACATTTCTATTTATTAAAAGTCGTTTATAAAAAATTAATGGTTTTAATTTAAATCAATTTCAAATTTTTGTATTCGTTTATTCTGATTATCAACGACATAAAGATTGCCATACCCATCAAGTGCTAAATCCCTAGGATTCTTAAACTGATTAGGTTGTTGTCCTATACCATTTCCACCAGCAATAATAATACCCAATTGAGATCCTTTCGGATAACGCATTATTCGATTATTCGCTGAATCCACCACATAAACGTCATCCAAATGATCGACAATTACTCCTAACGGATAACTCAATTGTGTGAGATTACGTCCAACACCATGTCCGCCAGCAATAATAATGCCTTCTTTTTCACCTATTATCCATTTCATCACACGATGATTGAAGCTGTCGGATACATAAAGTGAATGATCTTTGATAAATATAGAATTAGGAAAATTGAGTTGATTGAGATCATCTCCGTACCCATTTCCTCCTGCTACTATTGTCCCTGTTTTCTCTCCTATTCTCCATCGTCGCACTTCATTTTCTTCGTAGTTTAGTATATAAAGATCTCCATCGTTAGCTATTGCTAAATCATAGCAACTAATGTCTGAAATAATTGTTTGTCCACTTGCAGTATTTCCAAGACGCCATCGCACTATTCGCCGGTTTCCAGAATCACAAATGATAAGCGAATCATTCTTTTTATCAACAATTACATCCGTTGGATTATTCAGTTGATTACTATGATTTCCTTTCGAATTACCACCCGCAACAACTTGACTTCTCGTTGTATTAGATTTCCACTCAACAATACGATGATTATGATAATCAGTGATATAAAATGTTTGCGTATCATTATCAATATAGATACTATATGGATCAGAAAGTCCCTTGTACGAATCGTTTTCTATATTTCTGTCAACAATAGTAATTCCATTTTGTCTCCATTTCGTATTATTTCCGAATGGAACAAGGCTAAAACTAGTATTAAGGTATGGGAATTGGTCAGTATTGATTGTGGTGGTTTCGGAATAGTTTGTGGCTTCAGTGGTGATTGTGCTTGTCGTCGTGGTAGTGGCTTCCGTGATATTATTTGTAGAGTAATTTTTCTGTTCTAAAAACAATTAGACCAGATTTTCAAGAAGATAAATCACTTTTTTAAAATTCGATTAATAAAAATAAATGTTCGAAAATACATTTAATAAAACAAAAATAGACAATAATTGAGGATGTGAAGGAAATATTGCCCTGCATCTATGTGTCCGTAGCTACAACTAAACCTATTCGTACAGAAATGGATTAGATTTTTGTGTTTTTAAGATACGATTCCGTCTCTGTTCCGAACGACATTTGCTAAACTCAATAGATTATGATCGGATCCTACGATTAATATAAAACTAGTCTATATATGTGACGTACACAAATCTATAACACGTAAATATTATTGTTAACTAAAGACTGACTTCTTCCCTGTCACAATAGTTCATGGAAGAGAAGAAATCAATCAACATTTTATTATGGATATTCAGTTGTCATTAAGGAATTTTATATTGTTATGAAATATTAATCATAAACGGCTATTGAACACTACCTGATGTTGTCTTATTTTTTATAATGTTCTTTCGATAGGTAATAACCACACCCACCACTACCGCTACCACTACCAACAGTACAATAATGATAATTGCAGATACGAGGATGGCCCAACGTGTTGACTTGCATCTAATATTAACGTATGCATTTATTTGAGAAATGAGTTTCATTCGTATTACTTACCCATTAACCTTACGTGGGAAAGATACTACGCCCAAATCAATAAAAGGCTCTTCAGACGGCTAAATCAGACCAAAACTTTTGTGACATTATATAGTTCATATATATACTTACGTGTTCAGTGATTGGACTCAGCTTTCTATAAGTATATCGTACCATTTCAATGCCCAACTAACTTCTTTATAAATGACACAGTCGAACGTCAGTCAAGATTTATGTACTGAATTTCTGTTCGGATGAGTGTTGCTGTTTGTTCCGTCTATCACAAAAGAATAAAAAAAAACATGTTTGACATACAAGTTGCTTAAGGATCGATGGTAAATGTGTTTCTTCATACTATTTGTTAGAATAATACTATTCTGAGTGAGAGAAAGCAAAAATATTTGATTTAAAATACGAAAATTTCTCATGTTCGTGTGATAGAACAAATAGTAGATAATAAAATCAGAAAAATTCCAGTTCTTAAAGACGAATAAAAGCTGAATATGTCACATATATTGAGATAGTTATACACATCGGATACTCACTATGAAATCGTAGAGATGTGATGACAACTTATAGTTTGTTGAATAGTGAATGATTTTTCATTTATTATTCACTATTTATGTAAAACTCATCTGGGATTTTTCCAGTTGAAACCAAACAACAAATATTAGTCATTCTTTTTATTCCAATATGAATTTGTTTTGAAGACTAACAAATGACAATGTTTGTACAACAACTGTTTCATGTAATCTTTTTACTTCTATTATATTTTATTTACAGCTTGCCAGTAATAGGCATAATATGAGAAAAAAAATGTTTGAACAGTGATTAATAAATAAAGAACGAAAGAAAGAAGCCAATAAATGCATCGATTTGATTTTATATTTGAAAAAAACAAGTAATCTTTTTTTCTACGACGGACATTTACATCAAATAAGAAATTTCTTTTACCTTTTATAAAAAATTATAACATACCATTTTAAAAAAAACATCCGTTATGTCAAATAAAACTATCAATATAAAACAAAACAAATAGTCCGACTGATTCGATCATAAAAGAGCGATTTAATACTTGTGATATACGGATTAATGCATTAACATTACATTTGTATTTTTTTGCAATTTATAAAAAAAACTAAAGAAAAAAAGAAATAACGGATGAAAAAATCGAGTGGCATATATTTACTTGGTTTATATTTGATCAAACAGAACGACAAAAAATTCTATTGAATAAATTTAAAGTGGCTCATGATTAAAAAATTTTGTTTTCTATATGGTATTTTTTCACCGATGATTTCTCATAGTTTTCTCTATCAAAAAAAGTCAAAAATAAAATCTGAGATTATATTGAGTGTGGGTTTAGGTTTGCATTAAAGAAGAGACACCCACACCCACAAGATGATCAAATGATGTTTGTTTGGCTAATTCTATAAGCAACAGACTATCCAAGTTTATCAACTGATAATAGTGATATCTTAGACATAGTTATATGAGGATTGAAATAATCTTTTAAATATTCTGAATCTTTAATTACATTTGCAATCTAAATTACTTAAAAATCACAAAAATCAGTTTTTTTCCTGTTTGCATCAATGTTATTCATCTCGAAAGAGTTATTAAATCTTCTTTAGAATGTTAAATTCGTTCGAATCGATTAGTTCAGCAGCGAGTTGAATCATTTGTTCGATGAATTTGCTCATATCGGAGAGTCTCGTTCGATGATTCGAAATGCACATTCTTAAAGCAAATGTATTCGTGCCAATGACAAGTGGTGAAACAACGCCAATGCCTCGTTCTTGTAACGTTATCAATAAATGTTTGTTAAATTTGTTCAACATATCATGTTGATCGATAGTATTCGATTGACATCCAATATAACGAAAACAAACGATATTTAATGTTACCTTGGTCAATAATTCGAATTGATCCGAATGTTGTTCAATTAAACGAGCAAAATACAATGCTTGATCAACATTTTGTTCCATAATACGACCGAATCGTTCGAATCCATATGTTTTCAATGTCATCCAGACTTTTATCGCTTTTGTATTTCGTGAAAGTTCCAGACCGTAATCACTAAAAAAATATTCGCCTTTACTCGGTGTTAAGCCACCGTCCATTAATGTCAAATAGGATACTGCCGGTTGAGCAAATGTCGATTGATGTAATTGCCCATCACGCACAAGAATACAACCACATTCGTATGGAACAGACAGCCATTTGTGTAGATCGAATGCAATTGAATCGGCTCGTTCCAAGCCAGTAAACAATGGGCGAAGACGTTTAGAACAACATGCAACTGCACCAATAGCACCATCTACATGAAACCAAAGATCATTCGGACGACGAGCACACAGATCGGCTAAACCTTGTAGATCATCAATGGCTCCAGTACCAACCGTACCCGCCGAACCAACAATAAAGCCACATGCATTTGGATCGATGCAAGCTTCTAATGCCTAAAGAATGACGTAGAACTGAAAGTATGTTGTGTGATTTCAACTAACCTGTAAATCGATCTGTCGTTGTTCATTTGTTGAAACATAAACGATATTTTCTTTATTGATATTGAGCAGATTGGCAGCACGGGTAATACAACTGTGTGTATCTTTCGAACAGTAGATCATCATAGTCCGTTCATGGAATTTTTTTCTTGCTACCGCCAAAGCGATGATTGTAGCTACGGATGTGCCACTTACAAGAATTCCTGAACTTGTCTCATCATTCGGAAAACCTATTAATTGTTTGAGCCAAGACAAAACTTTACGTTCCAAATAGATACTTGATTGTTGACCACCCCATGACATTGTATTGACTGTTCCAGTAATAAATTCAGCTAGAGCTCCAATCGTTGAACCAGCGCCGTAAACATGACCCCAGAAAGAAGGATGAATATTACCGACATTATAAGGAAGAAAAGTCGAGCAAATTTCATCATAAACTTCCCATGGTGATTGACCTTGTAGTGGAAAATCACTATTAAGAATAGTTTGTTTGATTGCGAGAGGGATTGGACGCCAAGGTGGTCTTAGGCGAATATCGCGAGTATAGTCGATCATGTTGTCCATAATTTGATGTCCTAACAATCGTAAATCATTCCAATTGGATGGATCAAGTGAGATTTCATCTATTGTATTCGTTTCAAACATTGATAAATGTCTTAGTTCAACTGTAAATGACCAAAATTTTTCGTAATTTCGACTACCAAAACGTACTGGAAACGATATTTCAAGATTTTCATCGACTGTTACATGAATATTTGATATTGATGTCTCAAGTAAATCAACCATCAATGCATCAAATTCATCGGTTGTCTCACATAGACGATGAGTCAACGTCGAACATTGTTCGTTACTCAAAGACACGATTCGTGACAATGTTCCATTGTGATGAAGTTCAATATTTAAATATTGATTTGCATCGCGCACCAATTGAAGACAATAGTTGTTGTTTAGTGCATACATCTTTGTAGTGAAAAGAATTGAAACGTGTTAGTGACACTATCACAATTTGTTATCATCGCGCATGTAAAATAAAAATGACGGTGAGAGCAACTAAAGCAAACGATAAACAACACTTTGAGATTGGTAATGTTGAAGTTATTATTACAGGTTTCACACCTGTCTTTTGTTTCTTGCTTTGCCACTGTTTAAAAGAAGACAAATTTTAAAATACACAAGAATAACGACAACGTATTGTATTTATAAGTAAGCGTAAACATGGTGTATTTGGATTGTATGCTATATTATGAATCATAGTATTTAGAAAGGAGGATGACGAGAGTGAATGAAATGAATGTAATCTTCACACCCACCCACACCCATACCCTATTCACCTTTTTTCTTTTGCACTTATACTAATCACCCCTAATTTCTTTGCTTACATTATATTTTGCTTCTCTTCGCATACATTCTCGTTTCCTTTGTGAATTCATTTTTTTTCTAATATATTTTTATTCTGTCGGCTTTACACACGTATATATATTCGATTGCATTAGTTTAAAATTTCAATGAGGATAATTAATTATAAAAACCAGTCAGCATTTCAAGGATACTATTTTATTGTAGACTTTGATCACAGCACCGTTACCATCATTAATGACGTGAACATCTCTTGTCAATTTTCATAAAGAACATGATATATTTAGCCATTCCAAAAAAAAACTCATCAGTTCATAATGAACGGAAACATTTTTTTTTATTATCTAATGCATTTCTTCGTTCTCTGAGGTACAAAGATGTCTAAAGAATGCTTTTTTTTACATCCTTTCATAATGTCACGTATAAGATATAAATAGATAGATTTTAAATATTATCTCTTGTGAAACATTTTACTAATATGTTAAGTATTTCGAAAAATAAAACTCGATTTTCCTTCGACCACTACTAATATTTACCATATGAATACTAGGATACATTAGTTTTTTCTTCACTCAGCACGAGTACTACTTAATAATTACAGACAACTAATGCGTATATTATTTAATTAACTTCCATCATTTTCAATACAAAAAAAAGAATATATTTTAAGAAAAAATTCTATAGGTTAGAAAGAAGAGGAAAAGAAATAATGATTATTAAAAATCTTACATATAATCTACTCAACAGCTAAATTTTTGACAACATCACATTACATATACGTCTTTCTTAAAAATGAATTCAACTAATTTTACATCTATATCGAATTCATCTACTATAAATATTGAATCATGGTTTATTCCTCTCGATATTATTAATATTATATGTCTTACTATAGTCATTAGTTTAACCATATTTTTTCTAATTATTATCATATTTGATAAAACATGTCATACAGTTCCTATGATGCTCGTTGCAAATTCATGTTTAGCTGTACTTCTATGTGCAAGTGATATACTGTGGATATCTATATTTACATTACAACGTGATATTCAATCAAATCAATATCAAGATATATTTTGTATATTTCGAGGTTATTTAACTTATGCTTTATGTGCTGTTCTTGATTATTCATTTCTTCTACAAGCGTTTCATCGTTATGTGACTGTTATTTATCCTGTACGTTTGTTTTGGCAGTTACCACGAACTCAATTCATATTTATTATTATAACATGGTTATATGCATTTATATTTCCTTTATTATTTATATTTACTGGTGGGATTATCTATAATATTAATAATCAAATTTGTCAATTACCTCTTCGACTTTCGTTCTCGATAAATTTTGCAGCAATTTGTGTCTATGGTATTCCTATATTATTAATTATATTGATTTATTTTAAATTAATTCAATATGTAAGAAAAATCAATCAACGTGTTATGCCAGTAAATATTTTATTTCGTGCTCAACGTGAATTAAAAATGGTTCGACGTACAATGACATTAATAATGATTGTTTTTACATTTGGTTTTCCTTATGCGGTATTTATTTTAATATCATTTTTTACTTCACCACCAAAATATCATTTTCGTATTGCTTATATTTTTATTAATATATCATTAACTTGTGTCATGATTGTTTTATTACAATTTACAGATCCACTTAAAACATCAATAATGAAAAAATTAAATAGACAATCAAATATTATTATACCTAATGAAACACAAATGAATAGAACTATAGCTTTTTAAATTGATATTATATGTATAGAGAAAGACGCAAGAGGGTGAATGTAGATATAACTGAAGAAAAGACATTCATCTTCTCCTTTCATATTAAATTAATATAAAAATCTTGAAATCTATTTTAAATAATAAATCTTTGCTTCATTTTCATTCATAAGTTCAAGATGACAATGCTTATTTGTAACCTGAAGTGCATTTTCTTCTGAATTTTTATCATGTGTACCTCAAGATTATATTATAACATGAAGTCTACTTCCATCTGAAATGTTTCATTATTTCCAAGTTCGGATGTGGGTTTGAGTAGTATAACTATATCTCACGCCCTCAATCTCTCATTTGTTTGTAGACGCTGCAGTTACTTCTTTGTTTACACAATTCTATTAAGTTGACTTGAAGTAGTACAAGAAGAGAATGACTGTTCTCGCGTTATCGGAGAAAAATCAACAGCCGCTTCATCGGAAAAAAATCAACAGTTGTTTCCATTTTTTCACATCTAGAGATATAAAAACAGCTTCACACATAAGATAAACAGTATTCCTTCTCACACGTTCAACTGCCAGTAAGAGTGTTGGTGCGGATGTGGGTAATTTTCGAATCCACTCACATGCACATTCATATCCACACCCACACCCCGTCTTTACAAAACTAATCCTGGTTTTGTTTTCTTTCAAAACGCTTTTCAGTACTCTCGCTATACAGATAAACTTAATTTCACCTTTTTGCTTCATACTAATGTGAAAGAATCGTTCTTCCACCACTATGTTAGTTCTTGAAATGAAACAACTGCAAAAAAAATATTGTAGTAAAAAATAAACAAACACTTTCTTATTCTTTCTTTAAATGAGGAAATGTTTCTCTTTGGCAAATAGGAGAATGAATAGAAGAAGGAGGTAATAGAAAAGGAGTATGTCATCTGCTTCATCTTCTACAACACATTATGCGTTTTCTAATAAATAGAAGTTTTCATCAGCGCCGACCGTCGCTTATATTATATCTTGTTATTTTTGAAGAGTAAATAGAGAAATATAAAATGTTGGTTTCCGTAGTGTGCTTACTTTACAGAAAAAGTAATATGCAATTACCACCTAATTTTTCTCTGATACAATATTGTCAGAGGAAAAAAATCGTTTTGTTCCTCTTTTTCAATCAATCTGATGCTACTTTGACGAATCCGATTTATAGAAGGAAGTACATCACAGTGTTTCATTTATAGTTGAAAAGAAAGTACATCACAGGGTGTGGGTGTAGGTGTGGATATGAATGAAACATAATGCCCACTTGCACACCCACACCATCAAGATGGTGAGTGATACTTTAGATGCACCCACATCCTCAGCTACTCTGATTAGCACGGAAAAATCTGATATGTGACTGGAGAACGGCACACTTTCAATGCCTCTTAGCAGTTTGATTTTTTAGCGTCCAAGAATAGTTAGTTTTCTCTCTCCGCTTCCCCTTATGGATTTTTCACTCTTGTCTATTTGCAAAGTTTTTTCTACTCCGTTTGCTTAGAATTTTCTCTCCCTCTTCTTATTGAGTATTTCTCCGCTCGTCAATTTACTGATTTTTCTTTTCCCCTTTGTCGGGTGACTTTTCACTCTCTCGTCTTTTTATAAACACTGCAGTTACTTTTCTGTTTACACAATTTTACTGAGTTGGATTGAAGCAGTAAAAGAAGAGAAACACTGTTCTTCCTTCATCGGAGAAAGATCAACAATAGCGTCTATTTTTTTCACATCTACTATATAAAAAGCAGCTCCACAAATAAGAGAAACACTATTCCTGCTCGCATATTCAACTACCAGTAAGTAACTATAATAGGAGACGATATCTGTGAATAGAATCTGAGAGCTAGAGTGAAGAGTTAAGTGCCCGTTTTTGATAAAACTAAATTCCCTAATAATTGAAATCTCTAGAATTTAGATATGAATGCAAATAACCTGTTTCCCAGACTAATGCTTAGTGCTTGAGCGTAATAAAACGTATTATAGATACGGAAGACTTTTGACGAGTCAAAATCTGTAGTGAAGTACTTAAGAGTCATTGAACAAGAGACAAGACTCACCGCGCTCAATAGAAAATTTTAGATTGAGGGTGTGGGTGGGCCCACTCACACCCACCCTCAAGATGGTTAGGAAATCAATCAAAAAATAATATAGATGAAAACTGAACTATTGAGCAAGAGAAAACAGAAACGCAAAAAAATATGCTTTTTAATACGTTTTCACGAACATTTAAGATGAGAATTAAAACTTTGAGCTGCATAATAGAAAAAAACACTTTTTCCATCAAGCTATTTAATTAACGAACAATAGATACATTTAAAAGTATTTTCACGAACGTTAGAGACCAGAAATAAATCTTTGAGCTAGAGAACACAAAAAATCTGTTTTAATCTATCTATTTAATTACAAACTATAGATTTAATTCAACGCATCTGTACAAACGTTAGGGAGAAAGTTTCGTGAGAATCGGCTTAGCCTTTCGACAGTTATCGGATAAGTGGGTGGACACACTGACCGATCCTAGAGTGTCCTCACTTTTTGAGTGCCGAAAAAAAAACGGTGTGAGATAGAACCATTTTTGGATCTATAGAACCATTTTTTATCAGTTGTGGTTCTTTATAAAAAATGATCAGCGTCAGATAGAACTTCTTTAAGCATATGGAACCATTTTTTGTTTACGATGGTTTTTTATTGAAAATATTAATGTGAGATAGAACTGCGTTAAGCGCTTGGAACTATTTTGAAACCCACCATGGTTTTTTAGATTGTCTAGAAC